ACCCCCACCCCCACCCCCGCTGCCGCTGCTGCTGCTGCTGCTGCTGCTGCTGCTGCTGCTGCTGCTGCTGCAGCTACAGCAGCGGGAGGACCACTGGTCTGGTCCTGGACTGTGGGGCTGGAGTCTGCCACGCAGTGCCAGTGGTCGAGGGCTTCTCGCTCGCGCATGCAGTGCTGCGGGCGGACTTGGGGGGGCGGGACGTGACGGAGCGGCTGGCCATTTTGCTGCGCAGAGCGGGCCACATTTTCCACACTTCCGTAAACCCTAAACCCTAAACCCTAAACCCTAAACCCTAAACCCTAGCGCTGGCGCTGGCCTGCTGCGGCGGCGCGGCCGCGGGAGCCGGGAGCGGGGAGCGCGGGAAGATAAGGCCTGCGGGGGCAAATGGGAGCTGCGGTTAGGGTTTAGGGTTTAGGGTTTAGGGTTTAGGGTTTAGGGTTTAGGGTTTGGGGTTTGCGCAGGCGGAGTTTGAAATTGTGCGCCAAATCAAAGAACAGGCCTGCTATGTGGCCTTCAATCCCCAAAAAGAAGAAATCACAACTCAAGACAAAAGCGGAGGAGGATATCCTTTCCAGCTGCCGGACGGGACCACCATTTCGGTGAACTAGGGTTTAGGGTTTAGGGTTTAGGGTTTAGGGTTTAGGGTTTAGGGTTTGGGGTTTGGGGCTTGGGCTTTGAAGTTTGGGGTTTGAAGTTTAGGGTTTGGGATTTAGGGTTTAGGGTTTAGGGTTTAGGGTTTAGGGTTTAGGGTTTCTGAGGGGCTGTTTCGCCGTCTGCTGCGCGTGGCTGCCTTGAATTGTGTCTTTGAATGAATTTAAATGTCTTTCTTTAATTGAATATTCTTAAAGTGTTTTAATGGACTTTTATTGTCTCTTTAAATTAATTTAATTGTCTCTTTTTAATTTAATTTTTTAAATTAATTTAATTGTCTCTTTTTAATTTAATTTTCTTCAAATGTTTTTTAAGTTTTTTGTCTCCTTTTGCTGCAGGTGGGGGCCGAGAGGTACAGGGCCCCCGAAATTCTCTTCCACCCGTCCCTTGTAGGACTTGAGTACCCAGGTGCGCAGCAGCAGCAGCAGCAGCAGCAGCAGCAGCAGCAGCGGCAGCAGCAGCAGCAGCAGCAGCAGCAGTGCTTGTATGGCTTTGTTTGCTTGCGTTGCTGTGGGTCTTTTTTCTGAGGCTGTCGGCCTGTTGGAAGACTTGTTCTCTTTTGTTTTGTTTTTGTTTTCGCTCTTCTACTCCCAGTGGCCCTCAAGGGTTTAGGGTTTAGGGTTTAGGGTTTAGGGTTTAGGGTTTAGGGTTTGCGTTCAGGCGTCCACGAGCTGGTCGTCAATTCCATTTCCAGAGCTGACCTTGACCTCAGGCGGACTCTCTTCTCCCAAATTGTGCTTGCAGGAGGTAAACACCAAAGCCCCAAAACCTGCATGCATGCATGCATGCATGCATGCATGCATGCATGCATGCAGCATGCATGCATGCATGCATGCATGCATGCAGGGTGTGGGGCCGTCTGCATGCATGCACGCATGCGCGGGAGGCCGCGAAAGACCTGGGTCTACTTTGGGGCTTTTGGGCCCCGCCGCCCGTACCCTTGCAGGGCCTCCCCTGCATGCATGCATGCACATATGCATGCATGCACGCATGCATGCATGCATGCGTGCATGCATGCATGCATGCATGCATGCATGCATGCATGCATGCAGCCCCAGAGTTTGGAGTCTTGAGTGCCTTTTCGTTGTTTTGTTTATGGCGCTGCGAATCTGGAACATTATTTTCTCGTTTTTTTTGCTGTTTGCATCAATTTTAATTAAATTAACTCTTGATTTACAATTAGTGGCCCCTTTGTGGTTTATTTTATTTCTTTTTTCTTTTATTTTCCCTTTTCTACTTTTTATTTGTGCAGGCAGCACTTACTTCCACGGCTTCGGTGACCGGCTGCTGAACGAAATCCGCAAGGCGGCCCCCAAAGACATCAAAGTGGGTCTTTTTCTCTCAATTTTTTTTCTTTTTTTCTTTTTTTTCTTCTTTTTTCTCCTTTTTTCTTCTTTTTCTTCACTTATTTCATCAAAAAGTGACGGAGTTCCACAAACAATGCCAGTTCTCTGATCCTTTTTGCGATTTATTCTCCAATTGGTTTCATTTGGCGTTTTTTTCTTCGGCTGAAGTGTTTTTTTGGTTTTTTTGCGTTTTTTTCGCCGAGAGAATCTGTCTTTGCGAGTTTTGCTCCCGAGTTTGTTGAAGAGTTTGAAAAAGGTCCATTTGGGATTTAAAGTTTGAAATAAATTCCATTTTTGTTTTTTTTAATTTAATTTTCTCTTCATTTCGCCCAGATTCGAATTTCCGCCCCCCCAGAACGCAAATTCTCCACTTGGATTGGGGGATCCATTTTGGCATCTCTTTCGAGTTTTAAGAAGATGTGGGTCCCCAGACAAGTAAGAAAAAAAAGAATACCATTTGGGGCTCAGTTTGCATTTTTTTGGACTTCGGGGGCCCCAAAAGGGGCCCAGGGGGCCCCCAAAAGTCCCATTTATTGTTTTATTTAAAGGCAGTTAAGAGCCACTTCACTCCGCCTTTTAATCTCGAAAAAGAATTCAAAAAGAATTCAAAAAAAGAATTTAAAATGATTTTAAATGCACTTTTAACGAATCCCAAGTTCACTGGACAAGTCAAAACATTTCCCGAAAATCGTGGCTAGCTAGCCAACAGCTAGCTAGCCAACAGCTAGCTAGCCAACAGCTAGCTAGCTAGCTGCCGGCTGCAGCTAGCTGCTCAGGGGCCAGCCCACAGCAGCTAGCTGCAGCCAGCAGCCAGCTAGTCAGCAGTGAGCTAGCTGCTGGCTGCAGCTAGCTAGCTGCGGCTAGCTAGCCAGCAGTGAGCTAGCTGCTGGCTGCAGCTAGCTAGCCGCTGGCTGCAGCTAGATGCAGCTAGCCAGCAGCTGGGCTAGCTAGCTGCGCAAGCAACAGCAGCTAGCTAGCTGGCGAATGGCTAGCGGCAAACAGCAGCTAGCTATTCAGCAGCTAGCCAGCAGCAGCAGCAGCAGCAACCCTCAGTCGGTAGCTAGCTGCTGCAGCAGCTAGCTACAGAAAGGAGCTGGCCACAGGGAGTAGCTAGCTGGGCCAGCTTGGCCCCAGCTAGCTACAGACAGCAGCTAATTCGTAACAATGTGCTGCTGTTGCTCTGTTGCTGCTGCTGCTGCTGCTCTGCTGCTGCTGCAGGAATACGAGGAGTGCGGCCCCAGCATTTTACACCGCAAGACTCTCTAGCTTCTTACTTGCTGCAGCAGCTGCTGCTGCAGCGGCTGCTGCTGCTGCTGCAGCGACTGCTGCTGCTGCAGCAGCAGCTGCTGCTGCTATAACACTGTTACGAGGAAGGCTAGGAAGCGGCGAGCTCGAGTCGGCCCCTCGTGTAGCTAGCTGCTGCTATCGAGCGAAAGCAACAGCAGCAGCAGCAGCAGCAGCAGCAGCAACAGCAGCAGCAGCAGCAACAGCAGCAACAGCAGCAGCAGCAGCAACATTGTTGCAAATTAGCTCTTAGCAGTCAGTCTCCTCTTCGCGCGGTGCGACTCGCACCGGGCGAACAGCAGCTCCAGCTCGGATGGATTTGAGAAAGAAGAAACAAACAAATAAATAAATAAATAAATAAATAAATAAATAAATAAATAAATAAATAAATAATAATTAAATAAATAAATAAATAAATAATTTTTATTTATTTATCACTTCTGGAGGATCATTAATGTAGCTGCTTCGGGGCGCCTGCAGAGAGGGAGGCCCCCGCTATAATAGCTGCTGCTGCTGCGCTTAGTGCTGCTGCTGCTGCTGCTTGTAGTGCTGCTGCTGCTGCTGCTGCTGCTGCTGCTGCTTGTAGTGCTGCTGCTGCTGCTGCTGCCGCTGCTCCAGCGGTTTTCGCTGGTATTGCTGCTGCTGTCGCTGCCGTGTTCGCTGCCGTTGCTGCCGCGGCTGCTGCTTCAGAGTCCCGCAGCTGCTGCTGCTGCACCCGATGTCGCAGCAGCAGCAGCAGCAGCAGCAGCAGCAGCAGCGTCCGCTTCTTCCTGCTGCTGGGCGTCCGCAAGCACCTCCGCCCTGTACCGGGTGTACATACACTCCAACTCTGTGGGGTCCTCAGCAGCAGCTCGCAGCAGCCCAGCAGCAACAGACCTCAGGCGCGCGTCTCGCTGCTGCTGCGCTGTTTGCTGCTGCAGCAAATGGGACTGCGCAGCGGCGCACCTGCAGCAGCACCCACAAACAGCAGCGGCAGCAACTGCAGCAGCTGCAATCCTGTGCTAACCAGCAGCAGCAGCAGCAGCAGCAGCAGCAACGGCGCACGGAGGGACAGACAGGGAGACAGGAGGAGACAAATGAGGAAACCAAAGGCGAGAGGGAAACAGCAGCAGCAGAAGCAGCAGCAGCAGCAGCAGCAGCAGCAGCAGCAGCAGCAAATCGCACTCTAGGACGTGCTGCGGCACTCCAGCGAGTTTGGCGACAAGCAGCCCGTGGGAGTAGGGGCAGATGCCCTCTCTGACTTTGTATTCGAAGGAGACAGTCCCTGCTGTTGCTGCTGCTGCTGCTGCTGCTGCTGGTGTTGCTGCTGCTGCTGCTGCTGCTGGTGCTGCTGCTGCTGCTGTCACCGTGGCCCCCAAGTGCACGTTTGACACTCCTGGGACGAGCCGCAGCTCGTAGCAAAGCATGTGGTAGTGCGTGGCGAAGAGAGTGCGGCACTCCAGCAGCAAAACCCCAAACCCTAAACCCTAAACCCTAAACCCTAAACCCTAAACCCTCGCAGCCGCTACGAAGGGACTCAGCAACAAAGATAAAAGGAAAAAAGGAAACAAAAAAGGAGACGAAAAGAGACAAAGGGGATTTAAATAAAACAAAAAAGTAAAAATAATTAAAAAGATTGTAGAAGAGACAAAAGAAGCAAAAACAGCCAAAAAGAAGCCAAAAAATCCCCAAAAAAGCCGAGAGAGACAAAAGAAAAAACGGGGGACAAAAGGAGACACTCGGGCGTTGAAAAGGGTTTAAAAAGATGCAAAAAGATTCGAAACCCTAAACCCTAAACCCTAAACCCTAAACCCTAAACCCTAAACCCTAAACCCTAAACCCTAAACCCTAAAGAAAAAAAGACCTTTATGGAGTCCGCTATGTGCGTGGCCGTCGATAACGCTATCGCCAGCCCGTCGCTCGTCGAAGTCCCGCGCCCGAGTTCGTCTATTAAGGCCAGCGAGTACCGCGTGCCCTGCTTTGGGATTTGGGAAAACCCTAAACCCTAAACCCTAAACCCTAAACCCTAAACCCTAGGCCAGCCCCAAAGCCCCACACACGCCCCTAGCGCTCCTGCAACGCCCTCAAACGACTTCGTCTATTAAGGCCAGCGAGTACCGCGTGCCCTGCAAACCCTAAACCCTAAACCCTAAACCCTAAACCCTAAACCCTAGGCCAGCCCCAAAGCCCCACACACGCCCCTAGCGCTCCTGCAACGCCCTCAAACGAGTTCGTCTATTAAGGCCAGCGAGTACCGCGTGCCCTGCAAACCCTAAACCCTAAACCCTAAACCCTAAACCCTAAACCCTA